AAATCCTGTCAATATTCTTTCACATTAACACCGCCTATTACATTATTATAATAGAATAGATGTGATGATGTAAAATCGACTATGTTTTTATATTTCGTCACATTTAATTTCAAACTAAGTTTAATTTGCAATTATAATTTCAAGAAGTTTACTGTTTGCAATTCATTTCTTACAAATCATTCACTGATTCATTTTAAAATATTTTTGAATACAGTAAAATATTCGAATTTATGCTTCCAATTTAAGTTCACAATTGCAATGTCACAAATTCATCAGTTGTTCAGACGGAAGTTGTGACGACATCGGATTGGCCAAAGTTGACAAACGTTCAGGAAGTGGTTGATTTTTTGTTTCCGGAATGAAAATGAGATAGAGTATCAAGTCGGACAATGCAAATAGAATTAATGCTACAAAAGGCGCTGCTGTCCAAAGGTCAGCCTGTAAAAATTATTTAGAACAATAATTCAAATGCAACACATTATATAAAAATATTTACATATCGTTAGCTAAAGAATATGCTTTTTCATTGAAATTTACTTACCAGAAAAAATAACTGAGGAGCGAAAACAACACCGATACGACCAACAACTTGTAGGAACGAAAAGCACATACTACGTAATGGTGTCGGAAATAGTTCATTTCCGGACATACCGGTTATTATATAAACCTGACTCATCATTGCAAATGCCATTAGTGTTGCGATTCGTGAAAGAATTTCCAACTTAGTGCTTAATCCTAAAATCAAAGATTAGAGATAAAAAATGATTGAAATAAGTACTGAAATACTGAAAAATTAAGTATAAGTATTGAAATTAAATACTGAACCAAATAAGTGTTTTTTTTCCTTTCATTTTTTATTTTTAATAATAAAACAACATTTAGCTTAACATAACAATTTCTAAAAATTTTGCAAAAAAAAATTTTTTTGAAATAACTTTTGAATTAAATTAAATTCAAATATTAAAGTAAACTTATCTGAACAAATAATAATGAAATGAATAATAAATCCAATTGATGTTAATGCTAATGGTATTGTATGAGCTACTCTTCGACCAAACCATCGTTGTGTGTAATCGGTAAATGCTGAAGCAATATTTACACCATATCTATAATATATTATCATGATTATACTATTGATAAGCATTCATAATTCATGATCCATAATCATTATTATATCATATCATATCATTTCTTGATTATATTTTCAAAAAAATTCATCAACCATCTGCCCTCCTTTTATTGGTAAGTTATAATTTAAAAGATATAAGTAATTATATCATAATATTTACTAGTAACTTTATATCATATCATATCAGATTATATCATATCACAACATGATCAAATCATATCATAGTATTTGTGAGAAAGTTCATATCATAACATAACATTTATTTTTTTTTTTTAGCCAAACAATAATAAGTGAAATGTTTGTTACCTTATTAAGCCAAGCATAATATTATTTGTGTAAATTGAGCCGGGTAATTTTTCCATACTAAATAGCATGCCATAATTTATCATACTTGCTGCCAAACTTTAAAAATAAAAAAATTTTTTTTTTCCTTCAAAATCTTTCAACAATTGAAATTATCAGTAAACATTATAAATGAAACAAAAAAAAATCCTATAAATATCAGTGATAATTTTGGAAAAGAAAATAGCAATAGAATTAACATCGAAAAATAGAAATTTGAAAAAAAAGAAGGTATTTTTTAATTTTAGAATAAATTTATTCTAACAACATTAATATAGATAACATAAATTGCTATAATTCAATGTAATAAATAATTATGAATTCTAAAATTAAAAATGCTTTTTTTTTCTTAATAAAAATTAACTTACAAACTATATGATAAAACTAAAATATATGTGGTAAGTTGACGAGTATGGAATAAATGATAGATGTAGTAATTTTTTCGATTTTTCTTTTTACGTAATATCTAAAATAAATTTGTTAAAATGGATTAAATTTTTATTTTATGCATGAAATATTAGCTTTAGATTTTTTTAGATTACTTATAATTTTATTTTACTGAAATAGACAATTATCGTAAAAGTAAATGTTCATGGATAGCATTCAAGAGGAATTATTTTTCCTTAATTACTACGATCCTTAATTTAATTACTACAATCCTTAAGTACTACAATAATAATATGCTTTTAAATGTTAATTTATGAAAAGATTTTGCAATGGATATATTTATTATAAATCAATGGATGAAAAAAAATTTGAAATTTTTTTTTGAAATTTCACTTAAAATTGTTAAAATTTTAAATATTTCAGTATAATTTAACCTCTCTTTCTGCATCAATAACCTCATCAATCATATCATTTGTGACATCATTTCGACCATTCAAACGAGTAATTTGCTTTAATACATGATATGCTTCTTCGATACGTCCCTTCTGAATTAACCAACGTGGTGATTCAAATGATAAGCTAAAAATATTTCCCGTTTTGTTCAATATAATTTATCAAATATTTCATGAATTCATACATTTCGAAATGAATCATAGTTATTCAATTAGCGCAAATTGTAATCTTTTATAACTGATAACTCTCTCTCTCTCTCTCTCTCTCTCTCTTCTCTCTCTTCTCTCTC